CCGGTCATAAATATGTCAAGGGATAAAAGAAAAAACTATTTATTTTGAAATAAACTAATTTGCTTAGGCGATTCGTAACATTAGGCTTTTCTAGTTAAGCTATGCCTTGTTCTAGGTTAGTGAAAATGGCTGTTAGTCTTGTAATGTAATCGATTTTCACTAAAAGTTTCATAATCAACTTAGACAGATACAACTGATCGTTTTTATATCATTATAAGTAGGTTTATTTTGTAATAACAGGCGGCAAATGACCGGAGCGCCTGGAAAGTTGCTAAAGCCGGCCCTGTTCTCTGGTAATATACTAATTATTTACTAATGACGGTTGGCATGCCATAGTTGCTCGATTCCTTTCAATTGTGTACATCCAGTGCAGAAATGAGCTACTTTGGTGATAATTATCACTAGTTAATATTTCATTTGTGGTAAACACGAATAATTAACTTTCCAATGAGATAGATAAATACGTTTGCTATAGTGGTCGAATGAATAATACAATTCTGGCATTATCAATTAATTGATTTAGATACGATATTATCAAATTCTAAGACTGCGACTACTGGTCTGTTCTTATCATTGGCAGTCGATTGTGTGACAGCAGTTGGTGTGACTTTACAGACATTGTGGTGTTGTGCTCTACGTGTTGATATTTGTAAAATAAACCGAAATTATGGAAAAAAATAGGGTGAGTGCATTACATTTGTTACATTGTTTTTTGTGTGTGTGTTTTTTAAATATCTCGACAATTTTTAATTGATTGTTTCGTTCATAATGCTAAGGGCTGAAAATCTAAATAGACACGTACGCACCGATTGCGGAAGGTCAGTGGTAATAAAATATTGCTGAACAACACCTGAAAATAATATATTAGGACGAAAATAAATTCATGTTGTTGCGTGTTTAAAATAATAATAATCTATTTTTAAAAATGTGTGATCAAAACAAAATAGGTGTTTCATTTTTTAAGAAAATCAAAGCGACAAAATTTTTATTAAGCTAATTATATCTTAAATTTACAAAGTTTATGTTGAATATTCGTTAAATAATAAAGTACTATAATAAATAACAAAATTTTATAGTTGCCATTAAAATATTGTTATGGTTAGTTAATTATAGCCACTAATCAAGACATATTAAAATGAAAAATTGAAATTCAATGACTTCATACTTTTGCGTTTTATGTGTGGTATGCTACGTTAGTTATGCGGAACTGAACCTGGAAGTCGTTGACTGAGAAATTAAAGCGCCGTAGGTATTGTCTTTAAAATACTTTGTATCTGAAAAATTTTATATCTAACATTCTAAGGTAGGTAATAAAATATGCGACAAGCGTGCGGTACTGATCAATTAACGACAATCGCCATCACGTGTGTCGACACACACTGATTCCGTGTAACTCGCTGGTACGTCAATGATTTAATATTCAATGTTGTCTAGGTATAAGGCATCAAAATACTCGTTAGTTCTCGGTTTTAGAGGTGTGACATTATTATATCCTGTGACAGTTTCTTTTGTTAACGATATACTTACTAAGGAATTTAAGACAGAATTTTAGTAGGGTAGGAATAAATGAGCGGTTACGGAGGAAACGAAACGTAACGACACATTTACAAGTACACCACTTATTCTTGAACTGCCATTAAGTACAGTCGTAAATCCAAAAAGCGTATGCAGGTCATAACATATAAAGCTGAATAGGAAAATTGCTCTTCAGAAGATTTCTATACGACAAAGATAAGCAATCGCAATTGTAAGACGGTGGCAAGCAAAATAATGCAAGTAATTTCTGTTTGGATATTTCAGTATGACTAAAAAGATAAACTGAAACTTATGTATCCGGAAGCCAGCGTCTTCATCATATGAAAACGAAAATATTTATTTTTACTCAATGACCACGATGAACAAGAAAATCGCACAACACAAAGAGAGATCGACTCACTTTGTTTATATTTATATTTGCTTCGTGTTTCTGAGAATGCTTTTTTCGTTCGTGAATGGAGATTTACTAATTTTATTTCTAAATAATATCTTTGTTTACTACGGAGTTGAGTTCTGTTTAAGATTACACCAAATGCTTTAAGAAATTCTAATGCAAAAAATCACACAGTACTTATTACAGATTCAAAAGGCGTCGTTACTATCAAGGGCTTCCTGGTTTGTTAAGTTATAATAACAAATTTTCCGCGTTTATTGGAATGAGGGAAGAAGTTAATTGGCGTTTAAGTACGTTCCTGATATAATAAAAAAATATTTGTATTTGAATAATTCATTAAATATTTAATTTTATAATTAGTGCCATTAATTGTACCAGCGTGTTAACACATTCATCGATAAAGGTATGATCTTGCCAAAGTTTTTAAATTATTTACTTAAACGATCTTTATGGGTTTTTGTTTTGTACGTACGTTGCTTGTTAACTTCCTAATGTAATAAATCCTTACGCTAGAATTGTTTACGATGTTGTAAATATTAACAAGGTCGAATGTATGATCATAGTTACCGTAGACAGTGAAGTCGTCTATAATAATAACAATGCTTAAACTTGTTCACCTACGTTCAGTATATGATATGCATGGAATAGAAATAGATGATATAATAAATCTGTTTTAAAAATTACAATTGTTAAAATGGTCACCGGTCATTACACCATGTGCGCATCAGATTAGAGGCGCATGATCCAAGACCGTACCCCAAGGCAATCTACTAGGACACAATTTGTTTTTCGCATCCAACAAGTGTAACTTAATAATTGGATGCCATGACTACCTCACTTAAAATCAATCGGTGACCAGCAATGTACTTATTTAAATAAATATTTAATACTCTTCTCTATTTGAGTTCAAAATAGTAAGATAATTGTATACATTCAACTTTGGGCATCTACTAAAAACGTGTAATTGCCCAATGTTGGATATAGACGAAATGCATATAAAATACAGAAAAGTTTAAAGTGATGGTATTCGCTGTGAGCGTGTGCGTTTAATATAAATATTAAGTAGATAATTTACCAATATTTTATTATGTTCGACTCTGATAAACTACTCGCGATTTAGTATGATAGCTGTAGATATAAAATATTGGATAAGATCTGTTTAGATTGTTTTATTTTTATCAAGACCATGACATGGATATATTATAAGTTATCGGTTTCTTTGGCTTTTGATATTTGCGTTATTATCTAAAAAATGTTACTACCTCGCCTAATACTTAAATTAAACTTCCAATATCTTTGACTATTGTGACTTCATACGAACATTAATGGAAGTTAATATACTTAGATACAATATAAGTTTTTACGTAATAGGCGCCTGAATTAGAAGGGGAAAGCGTTTCAATAAAATTGTAGCTAAATATATTATAATAAATATTTTAGTGGTTGATTAAAAATTACAAAATTGATAATCCTAATCTAATGTACACGTGCTATAGAAAATTCTCGTCAAAATTAGTTATCATTATATCATAAATTAAGGTAGATTTGTGCGTTGTTGTGATAATTTTAAAACAGTAAAAGAAATCCTTTTTCCTTAAATTTCATTTGCATACGGGCGAATATTTTATGACAATAATCGGTGCGGCTGCATCGTCAAGATAATTCAAGTAATCTAGTTTTTAAAACCTTTCTAAACATAAAAATAAAACTATTGATTCGACTCCAATAAAAAGCTTAAAAAAATTATGGAACCGAGTTAAAAGTTTATAAAATGTAAAAAAAACAAACATATAGAACCGACTTCAAAGTTTATAAAATTTTTAAAAAAAGCATATAGAACCGACTTCAAAGTTTATAAAATGTTAAAGTTAAAAGTCGGTTCAAAAGCTACTTATGCAAGAAAAACCAATTGAAAAAGGATCCTTTTGGATTTTTAAGTCGGTTAAAAATTAATAGGATTACTCTCGAAAATATACCTCTCCTTCTCTCTAACTCCTTCTTTGAAATCGATTATTAATAATAGTTCATTTTATATAAAAAACTTAAAAGTTGATGCATGTATTAAAGAAGGCACATCATAGAATCTACTACTTTGTTTATAAAAGGCAACATTTACGCAGCAACCCTAGATAAAGAGGGTGTTTGAGAATTGATAATTTGACACAATGCGCGTCAACACAAAGAACAAATTGTATGAATCGAAGTCCACATGAAACAAAGAGACTTAACGTTAACTATACAATTAGAAGTTAATTCACACAGACGAAATATTGGTAAGACTATGAATGTTATACAAATAAAAATGCTGAGAACCCTGGGTAAATTCTATGAGGATCTTAAAGTAATATCTGTATGTTCGTCTTCAGAAAAGAACACGGAAACCTATTAATAATACTTTAAAAATGAACAACTTTTAATGCGACTCACTTTCTTTGTTTTGTATGTTCCCTAATATATTCAGCATGCGTTTACCCACCTTTGTCTTTTTTTTTTAAAGGGTATTTTAAACCATTTTGTTAACACCCTAAAGCAGTAAATTGAGTCGCCTCATATTTAATATTTGTATAGTAGCTTCCTACTGGTTATATGACGTTGCTCATATTATTTTAGGCGATAATCATTTACTTTTGATGTATGGAAACTGTTGCTAAGAACGTTACAGCATTAACGACTGAGTCTATAAAATCAAATGCCATGTAATGGGAGAGAAATGACGTCACGCACTTATGGTTATGGAACATAAATTTAATGATGCTCTAAATATTATACCATTAATTCTGTTTTGATGACATTCTTCTGTATTACAGATTTAACTGAATATATATTTGATCCAAACAGGATATATGTATTAATTTTTTATTTTTATAAAGGGTTAATATTGAATTGTTTGTTTATTTGCAATGAATAGGCTCCAAACTACGAGACCGATAAAAAAAGAAATCACCTACATCTTACTCTGGGGTTCGAGCTTTAAATAACTCTAATAATTTACTAATTCTCTTTTCGTACTTCGAAAAGGTGGGACTGTAGAATTTTATATTTAAATAAACATGATTGTGTGTTGTTACAGACCGAAAGTGAAACGTCATGTGAGGAGGCAGCGCGGTTAACAGCGGAAGGAGCAGCCGCCGATGATGATGACGAAGCCTTCGACTACGGAGCCTTACCGCCGCCACCCGATGGTGGTTATGGTTGGGTGGTGGTATTTGCATCTTTTATGTGCAACCTCGTGGTGGACGGCATCGCGTACACGTTCGGAATATTCCTCCCGGAGCTGGTCAAGTACTTCGGGGAAGGAAAAGGCACAGTAGCGTGGGTCGGCAGTCTGCTGTCAGGAGTTTATTTAGCCGCTGGTGAGTCTATTAAAATTATTGATCTGTAAATTTTAGTAGACACTTATGGCCAGTTGCACAAACGTCCATTAAAATTGTCACTAGTTTAAAGGGAAATTACCCATACAAATTTGATATTCATTAGAGCATGAAGGCGTTACTAAACCTTAATGGACGTTTGTGAATCAAAAAGAAGTTTTTTCATGAAAAGTTAAAATTTTGTGAATATTTCACAAAAAAATGAAGAATCTGTTTTAAGTTTTTTTTTTCTTAAAAATAGTAAAAATTTACTACTTCCGACCTTTATTGCTGACACTTCTTAACTTTTATAAATTATACAAACACATTTTTTACAAATACATTATTATATTTTTATGATTCGCACTTTAAAGTTTTTTTAAATATTCGTTGTTGAATTTCAAGTAATTATTTTTGACATAATTTTTCAATTTTTCTGGATAGAAAATAAATCAATTTACTAACATTCACCATTTTTGCATTTCTTCTCGAAATTTTACTTTTTTTATAGGAAATATTTATAAATATGTTCGTCAATTTGTGGCCGTGGGCTATAACTTTCACAATAATCTTTATGGTTTGCGAGTAATTAACGTAAAATTGATCTTCGTTCCCAAAAAGTTTTTATTTAGTCTCAAAACCCAACTTTAAGGATAGAATAAATATACGGCACAATATGGAAATAATGACAACAATCCTTTTTCATACAAAGACGGTGCGAAGTTCGCCGGGTGATCTAATATTAAATAAATACTCCATTGTTACTATGTTTATATTTCTATGTCGCACTATCGTGTTACTCCACGATGTTATTGTACTAATTTCGTTGTTAGTCGGGTGCAACGTGTTCTATTCCTAATGCTCTTATCGTAGGGCTCATAACTGACCTCATTAAATTGATCGATGTTAGTTATATGCTTGTCCCTTAAATAGTTATGTGGATTAATTTCTAATTAGTTAATCTTGTTGTTTGCCTATTAAAAACTCGTTAATTGTAAGGTATCAATAATACCAAAAATCATTTGTTTGATTTTGAACAAAGAAATAAAGTCAAAATGAAGTAAAAACGAAAATCATATAATGCATGTGTTACTCTAAAAAAATCTTTGTAGAGATTGTAGTAGAGACTAATAAATAAACAAGACTGGTATTACAAAATTCTTGTAGGAAATAAAGTTTTAAATGTTATTTACTTCTGTACATTCCAACCGTACTCATATTTATCGTAGCGACGAAGGAATTTATTTGTGATTTAAACAATTTTCCCTGTTAATATCTTTACTTGATTATATTGGTCAATATTAAAATAATCGATATTTTAATATATAAAAATGATCATAAAAATATCTACCCGTCCGTATACTTAAAAAGATAAGATAGGATGTATTGCCAAGCGTACTCAGATAATTATCTACTATAATCCCTCTTAACTATTTATGCGGCACGTAGGGTTGAATTTTATGAGAAGAGATATAATATTTTTTTAAGTATATTATTAGATTTCAATGGAAATAAATAAAGATTACGGACTTGTAAAAAAGAGCATCATTTACTTATCATTTAAAAAAAAGGTTATTTTGTTACGATAATAGGTATACACCATATATGCGTGACTTATTTTTCGTATATATAAGTAGGCACTAGTATAATAAACATTGTGTAAAAAAAATTATAACGGTCTCTATTAGTGCTAAAAATTATAAAGTTACAACGATTACATTATATGAAGTAAAATACTGTTGATGATGTATTTTGTATATATTCACCTAGTAGACTGACGGCTGGTTGCGTTATTATATAGTCGCCTTTGTGTTTATAATATAAATATTTATTTATTAAATTTGTATTAAAAATACAATTATTGAAACGTATGTATGGACGTTAGTAAACTATTTAATGTATAATGAACATTGAAAGACTATAAGATCAAATTTAAATCATAGACAAAAAGTATTTATGTTATATATTTTAAATTACGTTTGGCAACCCTAGCGGCATGGTAACTCGGTTTCCCTTAAAAGCATCGAAAGTTGGTTTTATCGCGATTACATTATACTCGACGTTTATCTAAACATACTAATCACAGAACATAGAGAGAGATTAGAAGTATAATGATATTAATTTAGTATGGGAACCGAGTGTCGCCCTTCCGCACACAAATGCAGATTAGATGAAATGATCATTTTGTTCACTACATGAAAAACCGCCACGCGATAGGTTCGCGATAACATAAATCAAATCCCAAAAAGATACTAAGCTAAGAAATCACACGATTAAAAACAAACTCTAATTCAACGTGATAATAAATAATTTACTTTAACATGAATGTTGAACTGTCACGTGGCTGTATATGGGGATACCAGAAGGAAAAAAATATTTTAAGATTATGCACATTTAAAAACATTGGGGTCATCATTTTATTTGCGAACTATTAATATTAGATTTTGCTGTAACCAAGTGAATACTGAAAAATTAAGGCTTTTCCCTACATAATTTATTAAAATATCTTTTAAAAAACGCAGTACAAAAACTAAGAAAACTTAATGATACACTCTATCGTATGTCTGTGGAGTAATATAATTAAGCGAGGGAAAGTGTAAAAAAAACAAAAATTAAGAAAACAACAGAATTTTTGTATTAATTACATTAAGCCTAATTTGTATTTTTTTCTTACTGGTATCATTCCGATTGTGCATATTAGTGATGTGACATATTAGTTGATAAAATAAGAGCTTTAAATTTTGTTATGAAACAGTTCAATGTAATTCAGTTCGACAATTTTCTACAGTGGTTTGATAGTAATTATTTAAAGCTTTATTCAAATAAAACGAAATACATAAAGTTTGCATTACCTAATGTGAGGCATGTTAATATACTTATAAATGTAAATAGTGAAAAAGTTGAGATGGTGGAATCGACAAAGTTCCTTGGTATTTTGGTATATTGATAATTTGTCAAGTAGACTGAGTTCTGCAGCATTTGCTGTTAAGAAAATTAGACTCTTAACAAATGTTGAAACGGCAAGATTGGTATATTTTAGTTATTTTCATAGTGTAATGAATGACGTATAATCTATTGTTATGGGCTTCTGCGGCTAGCATTCAAGATATTTTTATTCTACAAAAGAGAGCTGTCCACGCTATATATAATTTACGGTCTAGATAATCTCTCAGAGAAATATTTAAAGAAATAAATATTTTGACTGTTGCCTCTCAATACATCAATGAAAATATTATGTACGCAAGAAAACATTACGATTCCTTCACAAAAAAAAGTAGAAATAAAAATAAACTTGCCATTCCAAGTGCTTGTAATAGCCTTCTTGAATAAAGATATTTTCATTTCATTTCATAATAACTAATATGATCATTACACTAATAAATTGATCATAGCCATGTTTGTTTTACTTTATTATTCTAAGTTTTATATCTGTAATAATAGTAGTAGCTACATTATTAATTGCAACGACTAGACAATAAGGAATCGCTGGTCAAGTATGAGTTTGAAAGCCGTGACAAAAAAAGTTTGAAGATAGACACAAAAGCGATAAGTACGTACAAACGTCAATCTACATATAAAGTCACATCCGTTTGAGACATGCGTCTATAAACTTATGTGCAAATATGGAGCAACAAAAAAACTGATAAAAGCTGTTCTGTGGGCGGTTCTTTAAAGTGACTTTCTTAACTCGATTTCTATAATAATAGTTTCCGATTATGAATCAGCAGAATAAGGTAAATTAAATTGACGCCTAAAAATTAATTTTGTAAATTAAATTCACACCACCAACAATATTACGTTAGTTGAAAACATAATTTTTTGTTTGTATAGATATTATGTTGTTTTGAAATTCATTTGATAGGTTTAGGTCTAAAACAGATAGGGCAAAATTAATTATGTAAACAAGGCAATCCGTTGTAAAGTTATTAGGGAAACTGAAATATAAGTAATGCAAAATAAGTGAAATCCAGTTTCACCAGTTTCTAACAAGACCTATTAGGCCAACTCTTAGCTTTTCACGAAGTTTCGTTTAATTTATGTATTGTTCATAAAACGGTGATATACTTCGTAACTTAGATATTTATAGCACATCAATAATTTTTAATATTTATCTGCGTGTAAATAATTAACCGAATCTTCGTATTAAAAGTGCCTGGACAGTTCATTATTTCATTTGTTCAGTATCAGTTCATCTATAATTTTCCCTTGTAAACAGTATTTTTTAGTTTTATATAATAATGGCATATATTTATCGATAACGTTGTTATGAAATGATGAAAGAAAAGCTCTAAATAAATATGTTTTAGTTATCGATTACGATCCATATAATTAACAATACGATTCCGAGCAGCAGCAGCCTATCGGTACATTTCAGACAAATGGAGGCACAGCACTATTTTTTGCAAAAGTGCACAAAATGATTTACATTGCTGTTTAGTAATGGGGTCAGAAACATTGATGTTGGTTTGAGCAATCAATGTATATTTTATTTAACATTGTGTCAAATTATTACGTTTTTTATATTTTAGCACTAAAATTGAACTTACCAGTGAAAGGAAATGTTTGCATTAGTTAGATTGTATACTTTGCTTTGCTTTTTGCAAGTGATAATAGCACAAAACGGCATTTTTTATAAAAAAAATCTGTAAAATCACCACTCGACGATTGACGAACGACTGGCAAACATAAAACCGAGGAAAGGGCGTCATATGAGTAAAAGCGCATATGCCAGCGACGCGTGCCCCGCCCACTTACTACTTCTATTCTCTCTCTATGTTCTGTGATACTAATTGACCTGATTAAATTATTGATTTGACATCATGGATGATGGCGCGGCAATTTAAATTAATTTTTTACTCATAATTATCTTCTGTTCATATGGTATATCTATCGGTAACAGTGATAATGTTTTGATAAACTGTCTGCTTGTTCAGAAGGAAATCACAAAAAGTTTTTTATAAGTCTGATTAAATTTTACCTGCCTATCTATTTAACCTCGTTTT